GCATAATGTATGACAATAACTTTGTGTGTTGATTAATCAGTCTCTAGTTGCTGATGAACATTGCTGCTACAGCAAAGTACAGCAGATGCTTATTTAGCCTTGTTGAAAGTAAAATATTTGCTATATATCTTAAGAATCTCAATATATTATTTGTTTATATTATTGAAGATTGAGAAATTTCAAGTTTGTCTCCATTTCAAGATTTTTTCACCATGTGAGGTGTCACCTCAAGTTTTATGACGTTTTCTTCAGGTCATGTCCTTTCATATACAGTTATTAGTGCCAATTGAGGACATATTATAGTAATAAAAAAAACTCTTTTTTTTTGATTACAGATCCTCTTGTACTGCTGGGACAGGTGCAAGAAGCCATTCTGGGAGAGAATCTGCGCCTTCGGCATGTGTGTAGTGCACGATATTCCTGTGCTTTCTAATTATCGTTATTCGAGTGGTGAATTAAAAAGAAACATCTTATCTTTTTATACAGATTTGTTATTCAGAACATCATTTGAGGACATTAGTTCTTCTTAAACATAATTTTTTGCTCTTCAGATCCCTCCTTCACAGAGATGGCTTCTGAAGCATGGCGTAATAGACCTAATGGCTCTAAATTAATTTCACTTTGAGGAGTCAGAGACTCAGAGAGGATATTTCAAAGAATTATTGTTATATGCAGTGAATAACTTACTTCATTGTACTGCACAAAGTATTCTGAAATATTTCTTTTACGCTGACAAGTTTATAAAGTTGAACCAACGAGAGTTTTAAATCAGTGTGTATTCCTGTCATTGGGTTACAGATCATTATATAAACTGTATTTCCCACATCATTTGAAAGTTCTAATAAAATAAAATTTAAGATAAAATTCAATTCTGTAAAGCATATCATTTTCTCAATATTGAAATGCCCTTGCCTATGTTAAGGACACTTTATTTGAATATATGAATCCACAAGTTATGAGTTTCTGTTTCAGGAGCTATGTTTCATGCAATTTTAGAATTTATTTATGGCTTTATACTAGTCCTGCAATTTGTTCTTCTTATTAGTATATGTTTTATATTTTATATTGATATAAGTTGCTTATGTAGTGTTAACTGTCCTGACAACTATAGATTTCTCATGAACAAACACAATCTTGATTCAATTTATATATCTGTAGTATGTGCGTATCATGTGTGTTTGATTCATCATCATGCCCAATTACATTTCTGGATATGAATGCTGTATCCTTTATTATAGCATGCTGAATGTTTGAGTCGGTGAATGCAATGCTTGATTCTTATAGCTCAGTTATTAGGACATATTGCCGTTATCGGAAGGTCCAGGCTTTGGCCCTGTGCAATCAAATGTTTGCCCTTTACAATCCACTTTCAGAATATTATTAAATTGTACTTGATAAGCATGATGATCTCCCAACCAAACTGTTGCAATTTTCTCGACCTATGATTACTTGCTCTCCCAAGATATAATCAATTGTTTAAAAAGCCCGAGTGCATTCGCTGTTACTTTCACAGTGAATTTACCGATTTCATTCTAAGAAAACATATGCGTCGTAGTCTGAACTGGAACTCTGTGAAATGTTAATGAGATTCAGTCTAAATAGTAGAAGCCTGCGAGTAAAATTTAAGAAAGTAGTTCTTTCAAAAAATATTTTTAGATGTGAATATCTGAAAATAGAAAAAACAGTATTGTAGGTTTGGTAAGCAATAACTGATAAAATCGTGTTTTTATCAAATTGCATCGGCTTTAGATAGCGCTCATTTAAATTTTTACTGCGTTATCTACGCTGCCTTCAAGTGCGGTGAACATCTGCATGCGAACAAATGCAATTCTGCCCACTAGAACCTCCATTAAGACATTTAGAACTTTCATCCAACGCGCCAGAGACACCACAAGATTCAAATACGTTTCATGTGACCTAAATCAGATCAAATGAGTACATATAACTGCGATTTTACCCCTTGCTTAGTCTATATTACGTCAATGTTTGTCCGTATAATACCTAAGTCCTGACACATCGTTTGCCGTGCACCCGAGCGTTTTTACGGTAGTTCTTTTTATTGTGTGATCCGAATACCAATGTTTCAGTTGTTAATGATCCTCGTAACACTACCTTAAATATAATCCATGCCACTAGTCTGTTCCACTATGAGCTTACTCTACCAATCTACATCGCCATAACTACTGAATAGCATTGCCCGTTTGCATATCCTCAATGCAAATTGATAACTGGTGCGTTGAGTCCATCTCAATGAGAGTTCTCGAAAGTTGTACTCTCTGAGAAGATGAAGATTAGCGAAGATTGGAGATATAAGACAGTATGTTCAGTCCAAAATCGAGTCTCTCTATAAAGCAATTAACAATATATCTATAATGTGAGGGTCTTTGACTACGTGGATACACCTCATGTTCGACTTCTTTAGTTCATTTACAAATCACTTGTGCATAAATGAATAGCTGCAGTTATTGTGAGTCGTTGCTTGTGAGAGTCAAATTACAGGCGCGTGCACTATCGGTCGACGCTGGTGCGACGGCACTCTCTCACACAAGTGTCCTCGCCTGCGGTTCGGCTCGGCGGCGGGCCGGTTGTCTTGCATCAAATCGTTACGTACTTCTGGTCCCCTAGTGGGCTCTGGTCGGGTCTGTCACGGCCAGTAGAAGCCGTAACCGAACGAGAGATCCGCACTCGGAGAGCGATGTGCGGGCGGCGTCGGCGGCTCTCAACGTGAGACCTCACGCTGCAGGCGCGTGCAGCGTCCTAGAGATCTGAGGCCAGCGGTCAGGCCCTAAGCGATCTACAGAGCGCTCAGCGCTCCGGGACCGCATCAGAGGTCCTGTCGTATAGCCGGCCGGAGCCACGTCAATCCACACTTAAAGCCAGCAGACAGGCTCTGTAGCCACAGACAGAGGCCCTGGACCTGGCACGTCAGCGAAGCCACTAGACGAGTCTTCCATCATTATGCCTCCGAAGATTACCGAGCGAGATATCTGAACGGTGTGAATATCAACATCAAGTGGTGCGCAGCATGATCGCGTCAGAAGGCGCTACCGAGCATGCCACTGTGAGACGGCGCGCCAGAGCATTCTACAAACGCAGGACAAAAAACAGACGCCAATGATAGACAAATCTGTGTAAGCGACCCTCTAAGAAAGATAACAGTGAACGACGCACCTATCATCAACAAAACAGGTATGAGCATCTCTATTGATGAAAATAACATTAGCAAGCAACCTCGAAAATCTAGATCATCAAATGATACGACAACAGAGGGCAGATGTAACAAGAAACAAGACAAATATTCGAACGCCTGCTTATTTCATTCCAGGCGGTAGAGCAATATCTGCAATGCATAGATCAGATTAAAGAATCATTAAAAGATGAAGACTTCCTCATTATAAGACTATGAAAACTAATGAAGTATGAAAGCCAAACATTACAAATGAACAAAGTCAAAATCAGTACCTCAATCAGCGATGTTTATCGAACAGCTTGTTATAACATAACTAAATCGATAACAATATATGCTCATTATACATTTAACTTAAAACAAGACAAGGACGTGCCTCGCGGTGCTGTTCGCGCTAAAACATCACCCAGCGACCCCAACCCACCTGCCGACGACCCAACTGACGCAAATGCACACTTCAGACAGACCGCGCCTCCGAGTAGACGATATCTATCGAGGCAAGGCCATCCAACACAGCGACGGAGCTCGCACAATTGTCGATGACACATTCCCAAAGGCACCTCGCGCAATATAAACCAAAGCAACACAATCTATCATGTTTGTTGATTGTGCGAACTAAAGAAGTGAGATAAGAGACCTCAGACAAGAGGACAACAAATATAAAGAGTACCTCGTGCACACCCGTGAAAGGTAAGCAATGTCGTCAAACAATAATAACTAAACTACTACAGCAAAAATAATTTGAACCAATCGAACAAGAGTAAAAAAAAACGAGAAATGTACAATGCAAGCGATGTCAGTCCTACAGCATAGTTTTCGTTATTGTACGCCCTGTGCACATTTTGACTGCATAGATGACATTGTGTCCTAAATAGTGAAATGTTAGTGAGTACTCGTACTGATAGTCTGACCTATAATGTACTTAAAACGAAAACACCGAAGACATCACATTGTCTGCATAAATGCATAACTAGATACGACAACAAGTGAACCACAGCCCTCTACATGCAAATGGATAGAAAGGTACCCTCGCCAAGATCCTTGTCATAATCAAAAAAATATCCATTCCGCTGTCCAGATAGATATGCAGCAAGATTATCCTAGTCCAAGGTACAGACTAACTGTATGAGATGAGTGCGTGAACGCAGCAGAAAAACTATTATAAGCGTCTGTGGAGAGGGCCGGTAACAATTCAATCCACGAGAAAGTAAATCCACAACCAAGGAACAGGAAACGCTCACATATGGCACAACCATCGGTCCAAACATCTCCCGCAAACTCAATAACAAAATGCTGTCGTATGAAAAATAATCTGACCATCCTGAATACAAGAATCATTTAAAAATCGGAAGTCACATCTTAGCTATATGCAAGGCGCAACAAAATCTCCAGACCCCTAAATTAAATATCCATAGACTGCAATAATGAAGAAAACTATGAGTAATTTACTTGCGAATTGTCCCCTGAGAATGCCAACGAAATACCTTCAACATCGAAGAGATAGAAGTGTTATATACTTCAAGAATAATATTGACATTCTCTAAGGCGGTCTGAAACACATTTTCTGAAAAGAAGCTATCTACGTATACACTAACTACGAAATGTATATTGCCACAAATTTCATCCAGATGGGACAGCTCAATGGAGCACCAGCCCAGAAGTAATAATCTAAAACAAAGAATCAGACATAATATGCTACAAAGATTAATGCTAAAGCACGTATCTATCTGCAAAGCAGAAACCTCCTATTCAAGTAACGATAAGTTCGGTCACGCTCTACTCGTAAATATTTCAGCCCTATATCCTCTACCACCTCCAAAACAAACAAGCATAACCACCTGATCAGTATATCAAGTTTTTTAGCAACTCTCTGCACCAAGGTTATTGCTGGAGGAGACTACAATGGCGGAATCAAAGCTCATAGTGGGATCAAGACTGCTCACTTACACAGAGGTTCGCGCTTCCTAGAAGGAGCCATCTCTACACTGAAAACGCCAAACCAATTTCAATCAGGAAATCCCACCATAATGAGCCAACCGTCCGGTAACAACCGGAGAGGTACCCTAGACTGTCTTGATATCCTTCGTCACAAAAAGGGCAAATGGCACAGTACCTATCCACAATAGAGCGATCTTTATGCATCTGTCTTTGAATCACTCTCCAGAAAAATACTGACAATCAAGGTTACCTTCTGGAAACCAAAAAAGACAAGAAAACAACTATTTACACTTAGCAAATAGAAA